GTTATTTTGTGCATAATCAGCAATTTACCTGGGGTGGTGCATAGTCATTTTCTGGTAAAATATTATACTTAGACAAATTTTTCCTTCCTATGACCACCCCTAAAAGCAACCCTTCTAAACACTATAAGCACTTCAGAAAGGCTGTCGCTTTTGCTTTTCGGAAGTTAGAGCTATGTCCGCACTGCCGTTTAAGGCGGGGTCATTTTCAGGACTTCGCCCCGGATTCAGGTTTTGGCACATATGCCATGTTGACCGCCATGGTCATTTTACCCTAAAACAGTTGAGATTACCTGTGCTAAATGAAACGCATACAAACATCTATACAGGTCCTAGACTATAGTTTAATTGCAGCTTTCGTAAGAGCGAAACCCAACAGTACAACAAGGCAGCGCTCTTCACGATTGAATCCCATTCTACTCTAAAACGTTTTTGTCCATAAATATTAGCGGTTTACTACACAAATAAAACCGCATTTAAACTAGCAAGATTAAAAGATTTTGAAACAAATTACTCCAATAAATATTATAAACCCAAAAAAATATCTGCATGAAAAACTATATTACATGTAGCTAATCCGATTAGTTGCATGCGGTGGTTCGCAAGTGTTCTGATTATAAATTAAGCGTGTGTATACTGATGTTTCGTGAAGCATGCCCACTAATTACGAACTCAATTAAATCTCGACTGTAAACTGAAACAGTGAAATGAAATTGACAACAAACGCAAAACCGCGCTAGTATTGTAGCACATATAAAAGTCCAAAAACGTTCAATACACTTACATTATAAAATACTCGGCATGCGCATTCATACATTTCACTTTCAGTCTTGACAGCATTCTCTATCCTTCTATATAACTATGATTTGCGTTTTGCGACAAGCATTATTTAGAGGTTGCAATTTGAAATACTGTACAGCTATAAAGTAAACATGGGGAAGTGCATCACTTATTAAACCGCATAAAGGCAGCTATTGTTTTATTATATCTTTAGTTCAACGACGATAAAACCAAACCATATATACAGTATATCGGTCATGCTATTCAGACTATTTCATATAAAATGTAGATCTTGTGTTGGCGAGGATTAGATTCGACTGAATAATACAGACATATAATTACAACTTTTGAAATTTCACATGTAGTTTTATATACATTTGTTCAATTAGTAAACGAAAACATCAAATAAAACAAAGCATTACAATTTACCATTACACTATTTTAATTATTGACGGTAAGCGATATCGATGTACTGTTTTTGACCGGCGATATACAAAATTCTTAGATAATTCTACAAAGTATATGCAATGCTTTTCATAGTTAGTTCATACCTTCGTAAATTATCTCAACTCTCAAGTTTTGAACTGGGTACTGAAACAAGCGTTATCCGTTTATCAAATGTGTCCGTCAAACGCCGCAAAACCGCAACAAGTTGACAGTATACTGTATATAAAAATCTATATAAAGCAACAAGTTGACAGTATACTGTATATAAAAATCTATATAAAGCGTCTCTATTTTTGTATTGATATCAAATGTCTCCTGTCCTACCCACCCTAGTGACATACTTCCACGTGGCACCCAAAATCTGGGTGCCACGTGACCAGCCTGTGTCAGGATTTTCGATGCAGCGGGTTTGGGGGGATAGCGGAAGTGAAAACCCTGAGTATCAGGTTGATGATGTCTGCTTATAGCTTTAAATTAGTATATATAGGTAATAGCATGGTTTCGAGTGCAATTTGGATATAACATGCACGAGTGACTTTTTCAAAGACCTCAAAATAGCACGAGTCCGAAGGACGAGTGCTATTTGAGGTCTTTGAAAAACTCGCGAGTGCATGTTATATCCAAATTTCACGAGAAACCATGCTATTACTTATTAATAATTTACATAAAAATGTTCGGGACAATTGTAGTTTTAACTAACGCGTTTATAGAGAACATTCCACTGAAAAAGTTTTCCTGGCTTTGTTATATCACATTGTACAACGCTAACAGCTTGAAAATTCCACTCAACTATGTAATTTTTGTTAGTCTTGTTTAAGGTAAATGCTTTTCCATTTAAAATTAAAGATAAAAGCCATATTTTCCACGCGAAGGCAACTTTTACTTTGTGTAGCGCGGCGCCATGTTTGTTTTGTTTTGAAGCAATCTGTGACCGTTATTTGTTTAAACTAAATTGCTTTAAACTGATTGGTTGATTTAATCATCACAATGTTTTTCCACCAATCAGATCAGTTTGTTACAGATTTTTGCACTGTGATTACAGAAAATTGCACTGTGATTACAAAAAATTGCACTGTGATTACAGAAAATTGCACTGTGATTACAGAAAATTGCACTGCTGTTTGGGATTAACTGCACTGAAATCAACCAATCACAGTCGAGTAATAACTTTATGTATATTATTAAGTACGTTACCACAAGACGCACTCTCCAAAATGAAATACTGTATGATCAAAATCACTATAATCCATTTTTAGTATAATGCTATAATGTTCAAATCTTTCTGACCAAGTTAAGTCCATCAGCAAGAGGAAGAAGACTGTTATCAACTCGCTCGTCTTTATGAATCTTTTGATTAAGATTATGAATACTGGTAGTTACTTCATCCTTTTCTTCCTTCGTTACCAGGCCATGCCACAACACCTTAATAAAAATTACATTGTTATCCACGTACCAAATTCA